TCCGTATCAATTGTCAAGTAATAAATATAATTTTGCGAGACTAAGCTAAGTGTTTTCTATTCAATATACTAATCAGAATATCGCAAACTCTAACCCCAACGCACTGAACCTTGCACCAGAAGTTCTATCTTATGTGATGTCTTTCAATGCTATTCCTATCAAAAATTATCTAACTGAGCACTGACATACACATGCGTTGCAGTCATTATTTGTTCATAGTTATTTCAAAGAAGAACTTCTATTTTCAAATAAATTTGATTTGATTTGAGAAAAATAGAAATGAAAAATTTAAATATATATTTCATTGTTCTTTTTCGTGTCCATCGAAATTATAATGCCATGGAAGTTGGAATGATCAGTTGATGAGGAAAAGTATATAGGCCAAGCAACGGGGAACAATTAATAAGGGATTTTTGACATTATTTATTTCAGCAAACCGACTGTGTCATTAGAAGAAAGGTACTTTATACTTTAATTTCGTCATAATTTCGACCAGCAAATACCAATACTGAATTTTTCATTTACGATTTATACCAAAAAATCGCATTTTTTTATATTTTTATTTCTAACAATAAAAATAATCATGCACGCTCAATGACATCAATAGATCAATTGTAGGCGATTCAACGAACGATTATCGAACAAAATAAACCATCACTCACCAGATAGAATGACTAGAAATGGAGAAAATTCGGATAAACTCGGAAATTTATTGTTTATTTGACTAATTAATTTCTTTATCAATTTTCATCTTATCTAGCTGCGATTTAGTGGAAAAGTAGTGATCTTGGAGCTCTTCAAGTTGGAAAAAAAGGGACACTGTAGCTCAATAATTTTTTGCGTAATTGGCGATTTCAATAAATCAATGCGCTTAATTGCAAAATGTCTGGATGTTACGAATTGTCCAATTGGGATCGTCAAAACGGATTTCGAAGATATAAGAAAAGTACAACAAAATTTTCATCTTGAATTTTCAAAAAAATACTCAAAATACACGAAAAAAAGGTGCAAATATGACTCTGAACGGCCAAGCGCTCGTAAAGGACGCAGTAGTGGGGGGACTTGGAGAGTACGAGAGGCAAGTATATTTACTCGAAGTAATTTTTTTTACTAGAATATTTTTTCGAAAATTCAAGATATGCATTTTGTTGTAATTAGCTTATGTTTTCGAAATCCGCTTCAAAGAACTCAATTGGATAATTCGTGTGGCATCCAGACATTTTGCAATTAAGAGCATTGATTTATTGAAACCGGAAATTACGCAAAAAATTATTTCGCTACAGTGCCTTTTTTTTCCAACTTGAAGAGATCGCTACTTTTTCACCAATTTGCAGCTGGGTTGGATAAAATCAACCAAGTAATAATTAATTGAATAAACAATAAATCCTAGTTTATCCAAATTTTCTCCGTTCTAAATTATTCCATCGGGTCGAGTTACGACTCATTTTGTTCGATATTGAATCGCCTACAATTTACCTTTTCATGTCATTATATTTATTCATGCATAATTATTTTCAATGTTATAAATAAAAACCTAAAAAAAAATTGATTTTACGGTATAGATGGTCAATAAGCATTTAGTATTGGTATTTGCTTGTCCAAATTACAACAAAAACAAAGTAAAACTACCTTTCTTTTAATGGCACAGTCAGTTTGCTGAAATAAATAATATCACAACAAATTCCCTGTTGCTTGTCCTGATAGAAGGAATGACAGAACTAAAGAAAATTTGGGCAGCTCATTCTAATGGACAAGTAGTTATCTCTCAGAAATATCAAAAATATTTTTAAAGTTTTTATGACTATTAGATTCTTAATATTAGACAAAATTATGAAATACATGTTTACTAAGGGTTATGTCATAAAACTTAGGTTACGTGTACGTTTTTGTTGATGCTTTGAAATGTCTTCGATTAATGTTAACACTTTGTGTTTTCGGGTTGCTACATTTTTCTGGCACATATCCGACATCCTAGATTTTATACAAGCGAACAAAGCTATTTTGACCCCGATAAGAGCAATTTTAATGTACGCATTTCGGGTTGCATAACGTCCAACAGATACGGGTAATGGTGCTCGTTTATAGGAATTATCGGCAAGATTAATGGCCGTTCAGCTAGGATGGCTGCCATCGAATTTGCGGATCGTCGACCTAATAAAGATCGAATAGGGTTAGGTTGATTCATAAATGTAAAAGCAGCCCTTTTTTATCAAGTTCAGCTTAAATATAAAAATATAATTAAATGTCAACATATAATATTTTTACTCATTTCACTATTTGTACTCGATATTATGGATAACCATATACCTACTATTTTTTAATCACTCTAAAATATATTTTTATGAAAACTGGCGACATCGAAAATCTAAGTGAAGAAAAATAGAATCAACCAGAAAAAATGAAGCAGGACTGTGCAAATCGCTGCCGCTGGTTTTGTTCATTCTGCAGACGTGTTTTAGATGTACCTAAAATTAGGAAATTCGCCTTCACAAAATTCAGTGAGACATCATTTTGTTTTGAGTGAAACAGAAAAAAATGGATGAATACGGGTAGGAATGGAAGTAAGAATTTCGTGTCTCAATTTCACGACCTGAATTACATACATCAACAAGGTAATTGTGGAATTGTTTCAGCGTACGGCTGAATCAGGAAAAGAACATTACAGCAGTTGCAAACGGTAGGGTTGACAATTATAATGAAAATGATATTATTTATAATTGGAGCTTTTCATTAAATCAAAGTTAATTCTTATTCGAGATATAAATCTCTCTGGAAAACGTTTCTCCATTTCTTTAATGAAAATAAAAAGTTTCAAAAGCCGAAGACTTCCTTATGCAATTCGACAAATATCAACCTAATGACTGGAAAGTAAGCAATACAGACCTTCATGCGTATTTACGTATGAATACTATTATATGATTGTGAAAAATATTTCCTCCCCAATCATTACGACGGCAATATAATTAAAAAGTTGTAAAGGATACTGGTACTGATCATACTCACTGATAGTTTTCACCTACATACAATATTGATATAAAATGTTACGCTAATTAAATAAAAAAGTACAATTCAAAGAAAATAATAAACATAACATAATGTTCAGATTCACATGTGTACAATTTACGAATGTAATCGGATACATCTATACATCTACCTCCAATTAGGGATTGATAACCTTAATCATTCTGGAACACTCTAATAAAATGTATGTACTAATGTATTCTATAATATTTGTTACGTTTAAAGTAAAAAATACCTCTCATATAACTCCATATCCGCTATTATTTAAATACTATAGGTAAATATATTGAGTTTTTCTTGAAAGTTGTTTCACTGTGATCTTTTCATTTTGACGAGGGGCGGAATTTGTTCCATACGCCTATTCATCTCATTTTTCCCTTTTTTTTCATCTCCACTGTATAAGAATAACTCATCCGCAAGTTCACCATGCAAAAACCGGCTGCTGTCTATAGAGACCTCCAAATGGTCAGTTCGTGTGACAACATCACCTATCTACGTCTTGGAGTGCTTTAAGATTTTGTTCACACAATATCGTACCTTCAGCAAAAATTTCAACAGTGAACGATTCTCAGTATAAGGTGTCTTACATAGATCTGAATAAGATGCAACTACGTGTTCTTCAATTTTCTCTGACAAAACAAGACAAAAAAACGTGTTTCCCTTCCAATTTCATAATCCAGTGGAAATACAATCAATGAAACCAAAAAAAAAGAGATTGAATTGATTATAATCATTATTTCAACAAGAATATCAGATCATTGCCTCATGCGTCAGGTGGAGGGTCGAAAGTTTCTTGACGAAGGGATTTCAAGTACCAAATATTAATTTTACTTTTTTATCGTTAAATTCAAGAATAATTGAAAATCTAATGACATAAATGAAGAAATGTTGATTTTATTGAATCTAAGAAAAAACAGATGCAATAAGGTGGATTCATCCTCAAAATTGAGAAAAAGTGAATTGAGAAAAATTAAATAATTCATCTTCTTATGTGGCAAAATCTGATTAATTTGGATACGTTTTCTCATAATAGATTCAATTGGGACAAAAATAATCATCAGTATTTTGTCGCACTACAAGTAAGTTCAGAATTTGAACTTACAACCAATGATCCAAAATCCAATCCAAACTTACTTCTGAAAATTTATAATTGAATGAAAAATTAAATGGTAAAATTAATCAGATTGAACCAAAGAAACTGAAAAAAATTAATAACCAGTGCCCTAAGGGCTGAAAGAGAAATACGAAAAAAATTAAGTAAATCGAAATATAATTGTTACCGCTGTTGAACAGACAGTTGGTTTAATCAGCAATCGAATTCAAACGACGTTTAGGTTAGTAATGTATCTCTAACCGTTCTTCTATCAAAACTGGGAAATTTGTATTCCTGTTTCCGCCATCAAGACACTAATTATTAATCTCTTCAGTTCTTTAAGTTCAATTCGATTAATTTCATCATTCAGTTTTTCATTCACTCATAGTATGTTTCAGAATTTCAACTTAAATTCATAGGCAATGAAAGTCCGCCAAAATAGTGAGCAATCTACATTGCCAGCACCTATAAACAAAAATTATCATAAAAGAAATCCTCATCTGATTGTCAATTTTTAACACAACTTCAAAGCTCTTCATCTCTCAATGTAACTTTTGGGTTTAGTCCAATTTGCTTTTCATAGCCTCAACATTTTTCTCCAATTTCATTCAATTTTTAGGCTCGTGATAGCCACTTGATAATTTCAATTTTTCATCACTAAAACCCATTTTACATGCACAATTGTACATGACGTACCCGGGATTGAACCCAGACCTCCCTCATGAGGGAAGTTCACTGTTCCCACAAGGCTATTGACCCTCTAACATTTTATGTTGGAGAGTATTGAAATCGTGATCTGTTTAGTGGAACAGGATGAGCATTAGTTGATATCAACACTGGACTTTTCCTTTTTCTGCATTGCATTGAAATAAGTTAAGTAATGACAGCCTCCGTGGCTTAGTTGGGAAAGCAACAGACTATGGTGCGGTAGCATTCGGATTCGAGCCCTGGTGAAGGCATGGGTATTTGTGATTGTCTATAATTTAAGTAGTTATATGATGATAATTGTTCGGTATTGTACACTGATTACAAACCCATTGGCTGTTCGGAATGGTATTAAACTGTTGGTCCACTGAATTATAAAAAGTTAAGTAATTTGTCAACTTCGGAGATATTATGTAAGCTATCAGTGAAGTGAAAATGATCATATTATTATTATTCAATCGATGCACCACTTGATGGAATTACAAGACATATAGTTTCGTTCTACAAAGAATTCCATCGTTGAGAATTCAAAGAATTTTTTCTATTTCGTGTATGAGAATATGAACTGAATGTCTGTCTGTACATGATAGATACGAGTATACGAGAAAAACTATCATCAGGAGACTTCATTAACGGAAGGGAATCCAAAATGATCATTAAATGAATGTTTGTCTCATTCTCTGTTCATTTGTGGGCGCTTATCTCCAAAATAAGCTTCTGATAAGTGATGAACTTCTTTCAATATTTTACTCTTGTTTAATTTGAATCAGTTTATACGTAAAAGAGATATAGATATATCAATTTAAAGAATCACGTTGAGCAAATCCTTCGATAAAATTTCTATGAATGTTAATGTTGATGGACTAAAAAATTAACAGTTTTCATAATTTCAATCTCAGACCCAAAGGCCCAAAGATAAGTTGATAAGTTATATGAATTGAGTTAAGCTCAGTCGGCGTCCACCAATGGTAGCACACAACTTGAATAAATAGCAAAGTGAAATTAAAACACTTGACTTGAGTTTCACTGAATCAAGCTAACAACCCTACTTATGTTTGGGGTGGTTAGACCATTATCAGGAGTATTCAACTATATTACTGAGTGATATTTTTGGTTTATTTTCAAGGTGTACTGTAATACTATTCATAGCCATTCTGCTTTTTCAAAGGTGATGATTCTTTTCCTTAGCTTTAGAGGCTGCTATGACAGTTTCATACCTCTATAGTTACTATATAAGACTATATCTTCTTTGTTTATAAATATTGGGCACCACGTGCTTTTACACCAGAACAATGGTATTTCTTCCTTGCCAAGAACATTGGAAAAAAGCTTCGTTTACCATCGTAGTGCGGCTCCTATATTTTTTTCCAAATGTCCACTGGAATTTAGTAGGGGCCAACTGACTTGTGATGTTGAGAGTGGCGTTAATTTTTTTTTTCGATGACACCATTCATTGTTTTCGTAAAAAGTGAAATGCATTACTTTCAAGTGAAGGAGAAGAAAATTTTTTCTATTTTTCTTAATGAAATTACTCTTAAATGCCATGGAAAACAGTTTCTCTCAAATTTATGTGTTACACACCTTTATTATTACAGATAATTGGAACGTTTCGACGCTTCAAAAATCAGTGATGTCGTAAAGTATATTGAACCATTGAGACCATAGGACACCAATATACAGTATTATGTCACCAATGAAGAAAGGTTCAGGTTAGTAGATGAAACTCATACCAGAATAGACTATGTTACGTTAAATAAAAAAAATATCACTTCTTAATTGATAATTGATGATATTGTATTTAAATTTGTGGAAGATTGTCCAAAAACCACAGTGCACCTGAAAACTTTATTCTTGTGAAACAAACAGTCAGTCGTGAGTTAAACTCAAGATGAATCTGTTGATCTGATAGGTATAGAAAAGGAAGTCTCTCATAATTAAGAGCAGTAAAAAACAATTCTTGAAAAATCAAAACTGTCTTAAGAAAACAGGTATAAAAGTTGTATCACATAATTGAGTTATTTTTTCATTACTATGTATTCCTTCATTTTCCGATTCAGAATGTACTGTATTCTCAATTTTTGAGTACTCCTTTCAGAAAGAGAAGTGAAAACATTTCTTCACCCTTGTAACATTTTAAAGTGACTCAATTACGGAGAAAAATATATAAATGTTCATCATTCACCATTCGTCATATGTCCAGGAAAACTAGAATGTTTGGATATTCATTAAGCAATGACGCTGAACATCTGAAACTATCTGAATGAAATTTCATGAAAACTTAGACTACAGTCTGTAATATCTTATAGTTTGTTTCCCACACCGATGGTTACCATAGGAGTCATAATTTGTTTTTCACATAAAAAGAGTCGAAAATTTATTCTTTCTTCAACTTCAACTATCCTTCATGTGATGGTTTAAGGTTTTAAAATAATTTCGTTTTTGTTTTTCACAAGGAAAAGGATCGAGAGTTTTTTCATAGCGAGTGATTTATTCAATTTTGTCTCACAAATCAAGGAGAAATTCGGCACAAAGTTGGAGTATAACTTGAAATAGCATATAAGCTACTCTTTATCATGGAAAAATTTATGTTTCTTGTTGTTTCTGATGTAATTATAATTATGCTTGGTAGTATAAATTTATAGTCTTACAACTATAATATATCAACATACGAGTATAACAGTTTGAAACCAAATAGCTCATTCGTTCTAATTTTCAACAGTTAATTCATAACACAATGCAAGTAGATTGTGGAGCGATTTTGCGGAACAACGTTGTAATATGAATTTCTACGGAAACATCGGTTTCGCATAATTACAAACTCAACCACCCCTAGTTGCTAGACAATTTGCCAACTCAATGTTCGGTTAAGTTTTCGGTAAATAGCAGAGGTCGGATCATTTGAAACGCATTTTGATTCTTCCAGTATCAGAAGCTAATGTTAAATTTCTAGATTTACAGTAAACTAGACAAGTACGATTTGGGATATTTGAAATATTCGATTATCTTTTGAAAAATATATCATGATGTCATTTGAACTCAGCTAGAAGGAATGTTAACGATTACAAATTTTGTAAGGTTCAAAAGCGTGTACTTGAGTCACAAGGTATTGGATCAGCTCCTTTCATATTATGTGATGAAAAATGCAACTTATATTTATGATATGTAGTGTTGCCCTAAGGAACACCAAGACAAGACACAGCAGTCTTGGCTTTGGTATTGCGTGTGCAAACCTGGTTTTGGTCTTAGTCTTGTTCTTGCACACTAATCTTAATTTTGCTGCTACTCTTGTTATTATTTCATTCTCAACAAGTACCTCTTATTTTGTTCGTATTCATTCAACACTTCAGTTTCCAGTTAATATCAATGTCACAGGTTCAAAATGTATGAACTTATAGTGACATAGACAATAATTATAATAATGATTATGTTATTCTTGGAAGCACAAACATTATTCTTCAAAATACATTCGTACAAAAAAAAATTAACAGGGCGAATGCTAGCTTATGCTCGTTCTAATTGATAATTCTGTTCATGAATTGAAATAAGTATTGATAATTGATATTGATAATTGATAATTAATATTAGCATTAGTAGAGATTTTAATGTTTTCCATGTATTGGCCTCATCAATCATTAATTGATAATAATTCAAGAATTTCAAACGAAAACAACAATTTGAATATAAATAACGCTACACCCACTTAACCGAAGACATACAATTTGAAACTGAGAAACAGAATAATGATTTAGCAAAATATGAGATTCGACATATCTGCAGAATACGGAACAGTTCCTTTTGTTAGTTCGAGTTTTACTCTAATGTATAATGAAAAAAGTCATATACCGAGGCTCAGTGCAATTCAACCTGTGTATGATATAGGGTGATTTTTTAGGCGTAGTTTTTTTGAAATCGAATAAAACACTCAATTTGCATCATATATTGAAAATATTCATTGAAATTGATAACTTGGTCTTTACCATTAACACATTGAAGATACCTTCATGTAAATGTTGTCCGCGACTCCGTATCAAATGGTAAATTCGAAAGGTCCAATTTGACACATCCCCAATTGCTGAGAACGGCGATGAATTGACATTTCACGATCCTCATTAACACTGTACGCTACATGTCCAACAAAGTTAACTTGGTGCCAAATTTGGTGATAACCTCACGAATTGTTGAATCACCAAGTCGATTATGACCACCATGATTTGGTCGTAACGAACGATACACATTTTTCACAGAGCACGAATTTTGATAGTGAAGTTCAACAATTTTCAATCGTTGCTCGTTTGTGAGTCTTTCCATGATGAAATGGCAGAGTATACTGAAAACTTTTCATTCTGACAGATTACGTTTGTATGCCATTACCAAGCAGTGTTGACAACCTGAAAACCTCAACTCTTAAAAAATCATCTTATATTTATAGTTTTGTTTATATATTTTTAGATGTTTGTTATATGTTAAAGAAAATGAAGATAGGTTTATTGAATTGAATAGTAATCATGAGTATTCAACAAGAAACAGGGATGTGCTACTTATTCCTATGCATAAAACAGCTAAATTTGAGCACTCTCTCTATTGTCAGAGCATTAAAATTTTCAACCATTTACCATCGTATTTGAAAGTACTGAAAGCTCATTTGTTTAAGAGGAGAGTTAAATCTCTGCTCTAAAAAGGCATACTATAGTGTGTCAGAGTACTTCGATGATTCGGATGTAGGCAATAATGTATGAATCAATTTTTTGTATCATATGTTTGTATATTTTTTTAGCACAAATGTTCTTCACCATGTGAAATTGTCTCAAATGTTTAATATCTCAGAGGAAAGGTTTTTTTTTCTTTTCAATCAAAGTTGTATATTATTGTAAATATGAATTTAACCAAGATTCTGTTTGAACCAATATTTTTGCTCGAGGGCTGAATGGAAGATCAGACTCCAAATTGAATTCGGTCCTTTTGAGAGCATTTCTCTTAGTTGTAATTATTGTATCAATTGAAATTAATGTAATTTTACAATGTGAGGAATGTTTCTCAATAAATTTATATCATTATTATTATTATTATTATTATTATTATTATTATTATTATTATTATTATTATTATTATTATTATTATTATTATTATTATTATTATTATTATTATTATTATTATTATTATTATTATTATTATTATTATTATTATTATTATTATTATTATTATTATTATTATTATTATTATTATTATAACACTTGACAAGGAACCTAACCTATGG